GCACATTACTAGAGCATGTAGACACCAGTCTCCTACATCAATCTAAGAATTTTACCACCATCAACTCTGAGATAAGCTTCACACAAGAGATAGATAATTCCTACCAAAATTCTTGAAACACAGAATTCAAATTGTAGTTATTTCATAATTAGTATGTAGTTAAAGAACAAATGGCTAAACAACAGAAGCAGGACATTTTGGAATTACTCTACTCCAACTTTCATAAGCACACAGAGCAGGTATCTTCTTAGACAAGACTGTATGGAAAGAAAAATACTCGAGTGGTAATTCTAAAAGATGAAAGATTTAGGGGGCTGGAGAGATGGCTCAGCAGTTAAGAGCGCTGGTTGGTCTTGCAGAAGACCCGGGTTTGAATCCCAGCACCCACATGGCCGCTAACAACTGTCCGTAACTCCAGTTCCAGGGGATCTGACAGCCTCTTCTGACCTCCGTGGGCATTACATGACACAGGTGCACTTACCTACATTCAGGCAACACACGCATACACATAAAGTTTAAAAAAAGAGAAAGATTCAGATATTACAATAATTCAGTCACTTCTGCAAGCAGAGAAAGTCTTTACTTTCTCACAGCCCAACAAGAGAAAATACTCTGCCAAAAAAATAGACCAATCTGACAATGAAAAATTAAATATTAAGAAACTTTGGGTCAGTGAGCTGCCTCAGCAGATAAAGATGCTTGCTATGCAAGCCTGTCAACCTGAATTTGGTCTGTGAAACCCACAAAGGTATAGAGAGCCAACTCCACAAAATTGTCCTTTGACCTCAACATGCACACTGAGAAATGCTCCCCTCCCCCCTCACCCCATAGCATGCAAACACACAAATGAATCAATTCTTTTTTAATACCAGGGCCAGGTATGGTGGTATTTACCTATAATCCCAGCACTCAGCATTTTAAAGCCAAGAAAATTTCAAGTTTGATGCTAGTCTGGGCTTATAACAGTGAGCTCATCTTAAAAAGTAAAAATAATTTCTATGGTCATAGTTTAGTCAACTAGTTGAAGAACAAAATATAAATCTAGTCAACGTTTATCTGAGAATATTTGGTTCTTTACCTAAGCCTTATCTACATAGCACATGATAATTAAAAGTACCAGACTGGTGGAACTAGCCTTATTGGATGTTTTACAGCCATACTTTAAGGCCTATACTCATGTGGTCACAGGGGCTTAAAAAATAGTTTTTGCTCCTTGCCCTCCAAGGTCGACCAAGTTCCAGGGGACTATGGAACATCTCTTGAAATGTCCTGTAAATGTGGTGAGTCAACTGTCCTCTTGTTCAGGGAGGACATGGAGACCCCACGAGATGGACTTGAACCAGTGTCCAGTCTACGAAGAGGAGGGTCAACTCAGAGAAAACATCTCATTCATGTTTCCAAGTGAAGCCAGACGTGGTCAAGCAGGACCTCTGACTTATCATCACATAGATGGAACTGGTAAAAGAAAGGAACCAGGAGCTCCTCTCAAGCCCATGTGACCCCTGAGGAACAGATCCTCAAATGACCTTAAGTGTGCAAATAAATTGATTTATTTGGGCCAACTGTATGTTCTTAAACAGCCAAAAGGAAAATATAACCAAAGAGTAAAGTTGTCAGTATACTTCTTTAAGAGTTCAAGGGATTATACTTCCAAGACATTAGGCTTAAGTCTATATAAAAAGTTATTTAGACAATTATTTCTCATTTATGATTTTGTTCCTAACCAGAAAGTGCTGCCCAGATGTAAGACTTCAAATCTTGGTCTCCAATACTGTAGTGCCCACCTGTGCTAAAGGAGACAACTAGCTATTGTTCTAAAATGATGGGTAAATTTGTTTTCTCCTCCTATGCAGAAGCCGTTGAGAGGGAACTGACACTGATTCTAACCACTCCAACAGCTATCAAAATACCTGAAAGCAAGTCCTGAATCCATCACTCTAGAGTCCAGCCTTGGAAGACAAAAGAAAAGAGGAAGAACCCAATAGAGGGATGCTTTTGGAAGCCCTTGTCAAGAAACTCCAATGGACTCTCATATGAACATTTGAAAATTGCCCTGTTCTGACTTTTTTCTAGTTCCCTGTCTAGAACTTGTAATGGTAATTACTCTTGCCTTTACTTCTCCTTCATATCTCCTATTCACAATTCAAGGACTTTCTTTTCCCCTTAGAATGTGGGAGTCTTTTAGATAGGCCCACTGAAGTATTCAGATTTTAATTTGGTGTCTTTTAGATAGGCCCACTGAAGGGGTACTCCAATTGCCTTACCCTGCGTCCCTATTCAGCATGGAAGAAGCTCGAGTGGTGTGTGTCCCTATTAGGTAATTTGGGTAACTCTTTCAGAGGATGGTGTGATAAGAATAGGAGGTAGGAATTGGCTAGGCAGTTAGCGTAAAAAGACCCCAAAGAAAAGTAGCCAGTTTCTTGGCTAAAAGTCAAAATGTCCTTGGGCCTCTTAGCAACATACTCTGTTCCAAAGGCCAAAAATGTCAAAAGTATTTGGGAGCTTGGATCTAATCCTTAAAAGATTTTAGGGTTACCTCTTCAGAGGGGGGAATGTTAAGAGTACCCAAAAGCCCCATAAAAATAAGTAAATGAAAAGAAGAAAAAAAGAAAAAGAAAAAAGTGATGGGGCGATATGGGAGGTGTTGGAAGGGAAGGAGTGGACATGGATTTGATCAAAACACCTTATCTATATGCATGTATGAAATTCTCAAAGTTTCTATAAAAGTTGAACCCCCCCCCCCAAAAAAAAAGAAATTCTCTGGTAAACTCAATCTGAAATGAGAATGGAAATAAAAAAATTCAGTAATCCAATTGGAAAACTTAAAAAAGAAAAAAAAAAAAAGAAAGAAAAAAGTAGAAATAAAAGAAAAACACCCAAACAGATTAGCAATAAAATTTCCTCAGTTTCCAAACTAACGTTCCATTTTGTGTATACCAGAAACAAAGTCAAGTGTCATACCTTACCTCTAAAAATCATAGCTTTTAGTTCTATTACAAGCAAGCAAGAAGTCATACCTAGTATACCCTCTTACTTGACAAAAATGTCATCTTCCATGTTGGATGACTCAGCAATTTCACTCACAGAGAAACAGAGAACATATAGTCACTCAACAACTACCACATCATGTTCAGAAAAGTATTCCTAACAACCAACAACTAGAAATAACCAAAGACACTTCTGATGAATGCATAAACAAAATGTAAAATGTCCATACAACTCTGTCATGAAGAGAATCACATTCTGATCAGTTACAAGGATGAAGCTTACAAACATTATACCAAGTGAAAGAAGCCAAACATGAAGGCCATGTATTGAATAACCATTTATATGAAATGCCCAGAATAGACAAATTCATAGAAACTAGTCAGTAGTTGCCAGAACTAAAGGAAGGGAGGCATGGGGAAGGATTCACTGCTCTTGAGAACAAGGGATCTTTTGGAGGTAATGAAAACATCCTAAAATTAGATACTGATGGCTACAAAACTACAGTGAAAATTACTGCACTATATATTTTGTTGTTGTTGTTTTGCCTTTTGTGTTTGTGTTTTTTTGTCTTTTTGAGACAGGGTCTAGAATCATGTTTACCAAGCTGGTCTTGATCTCACAAATATCCACCTGCCTCTGCCCCCCAAGTGCTGGAATCAAAGGCTTACACCCCCATATCTGGGTGTACTATATACTCTTAGAATGAGGGAATTTTGAAGAGGATTAACTCAGAGGGAATGTGGGCAGCACTATCTCATGGGCTGAAGGCATGGGCTCAAGGAAAAAGAGATAGCACGTGGAACAGAGGCACTGCCGCCCATGCTTGCTAACTGTGGACACAGGCTGCCAAGTACCTCATGCTCCTGCCACCATAGCTAGAGCTACTCTCAGTCACATCTTCCCTGCCAGGACGGAAGGTACCCACAAGCTACAAACTAATATTAACACTTCTTTCATTAAGCTGTTTATGTCAGGTACTTTGTCACCAACATGAAAAGTAATGAACGAATGCTTATTTGTAAAATAGGACCACAACAGTGAAACTTCTGCTCTATGTGCCATCTCTTTATAGCTCATCAACAAACTTTACCTGGTAAAGGAGAGATAGGAAATATTTTAGAGTTCTGTGGACCAGATAGTATCTGATACAACTACTCAACTCTTCTGTAACACAAGGGCAACCACAGCCAATATTTAAACCATGATCCTCTGCCTGAGGTCAATACTGTCCACAAAATTTAAGTCCTCTCTATATTACTTACAGTGCCCAATACAATGCGAATGCTATGTAACAGTTGTTATATATAACTTTATGTGTCTGGTGTGCTGCTTTGCATGTATGTAAGTGTACCCATGTCATGCAATGCCCACAAGTCAGAAGAGAGCATCACCCTGGAACTTGAGTTACACATGGTTGTTAGCCACCATGTGGGTGCTGGGAATCAAACCTGGGTCCTCTGCAAGAGCAGCCAGTGTTTTTAACCACTGAACCATCTATCCAGACCTTATAGTTGTTATATTATTTGGGGAATAACCACAAGGAAGAAGCTACATGTTTTTCCCAAAATATTTTCAATCAGTGGATAGTTGAATTCATGGATGCAGAACCTGCTGTTATAAAGGGTCCCAATAGGGCCAGTGAGGTGGCTCAGCAGGTGAAAGCACTTGCCTCCAAACCTGTCAACCTGAGTTCCATTCCTGGGACCCAGGTGGTGGGAGGACAACTGACTCCTCCAAGGTGTCCTCTGACCTCCACGTGTGCTCCCATAGAAGAAATAAATATAAGAGGAACAAGCTGTTTTAAATACAACCATCTGAATATACTGGTGAGCACTACATTAAATAGCTATCTAGCCAATTAGGTAGATAAAAGCAAACTTGTGATTCTATTACAGGATGAACAGGGAAGAGAAAATATGATATAAAATGCCTAATAATTCAAAGATCAAAGAAGTGTATAATCAAAATTCTAAACAAACTAATCACAGCTCACAGCTCAATCAAGAGGATACGTGTATAGTTCCATGTATCTGGACTTTGCCATACTTTGTCTGGTGTACACCTGCTGAATCCCAGCTCTGAGGTCATCCCAGATCTGGTCAAGACCAATCTGCTTCAGTCCGTGGGGATTCTGACTCCTGTTTGAGGACATCGTGAGTAATGTTCTGAAGTCAGCCAGTACAGCAATCCTTGTTCAAGACACAGCTAATTCTCCATTAGTTGAAAATACACAGTATCATTCCAAATTTATTCACAGCAGCTCAGAAAGAATGTCCTTTAAGTGTACAGAGAGAAATCTCATTCATTGCAGGCAGACCTAAAGAGGGAATAAAGAAAAATTATTAATAAGTTCTAACATTCTGGAACAGGTAATAGGACAGCGCACACTAACAGACACCATCTGTGGGCATTTGCAGGTACAATAGGTATTTCTTTACTTTCTATGTGGAAACACACTCACTTGGTTTCTGTGTAAATTACGCTTAGATATTTCATCTAAAATTATCTTAACTATTAGTGCTCATAAAAAAAAAGCTGAGGAAAAGAAATTGCACAAGAAATGGTTATTATTCTTTACTTTCTATTCAAGAGACTTGACTTTGAGGTCAGCTCACTTTACAAAGCTTGAACTTCCTAGCCTGCAAAATGAGGGTAAACTACTTTCTTCAAATCGCTGTTGGAGCTTAAGGACAATGATGTATTCAGAATATTTAACAGGGTAAATGCTTGCCAACTAGTTATAGCTATTATTTCTAAGTGTATGAAGTTACTGTAAAACACAATTTCTAATGCTTTAGAATTTGGACCCTTAAATCAAGAGTCTTAGCTTCTATACTGTGTTTAGTTAGAACTTCAATGTGCATCACTCTGGACATACTTTAAGAACTGGCTATGTAAATGTGGAGGCTTTAAGTAAGTACTTCTAGTGGAAATTAAAAAAAAAAAAACTGAATTACTTTAATGACTTCACAAAGTAAGTATCAGTGGGAAGTAAATGGGACAGGAGACAGCATAGGCTGTTGAAACCTACAAACCCAGTCTGAGATACTGTGAGCCCTTCAGCACCTCTTATCTCCCAAGCAACACTGCAAACCTCCACACGTTCCAAGGCTTGTTTAAGGCCTTTGTAAGTCATACATATACAGATTAAGTTTTAACCACTGAACCTTCAATCATTTCTAACATTTATCATTTGAGCTATAGAACTTAGTATTTTATAAATCCACAATGGTCATTCCTGATCCTGATTCAAATAGATATATTAAAGTGTGAAATCTAATCTTTTAACACAGGATTCCTTCAAATGTAAAAAAATTAACTCAGGAACAACCCTGTAAAATTCCCTACAGAGTTTCAATCTTCTGTTCATCTACCTTGGGAGAATCATAGCAACGCCCCACTTGATAATAATCAGCATTTTTAGATTGATGCTGCCATCTGATAGTATTAACTTCCACACCTGTCCTTCTCCTCTCATCGCTTTCTAAATATTTCCCTATGGGGAACTTAGCACTCAAACTGTCCAAACTAGAATTAACAATGCAAGTCATGTCTACCAGCAACCATGGAAAAGGTTCTCTACTTTCTAAATTCCATTCTCCATGTGTTGCCCAACTCAGTAAGTGGCAACACCATTGTATCCACCTTTCAGGAGTCTTGGAGGGATTCTGATACTAGAGTGCTTTGATGTCAACTGTCAAGGTCATTTCAAATCAATTAGTTCTCCTAGATGCTTCCTCCTCTAGTGATCATCACCTTCTCCTTAAACCAGGCTCTCATACATCTATCCATTTCTACTACCTTTTCTCATCCATTCTTGTCTGAAATTGTCATCTTAAGAACAAAGGGGGAGCTTAGGGAGAATATGAATAGGGAGACCCTAACACTGTATAATCAGACCCTTTTCTCTGCCCCTTTCTTAGAAAATGCCCCATGTTCCCCTGGGTACAGTCACACACGTTTCTTCCCCCTTTCCTGGACACATCAATCTCCTTTCCACTCCTGAGCTCTTTGGCTGCTCATGCTGCCTAGAAAGTTCATCCGTTCTCCACCTAGCTGTTTTCCAGTCACTTTACTTCAGGTCAGACTTACTGGCAGGTCTCAGAACAAAGTCTTGTTTGTCATTACCTGTATTTTCCCCTTCTAACACTTACTCAAGGCAGCCATGCCATTTTTGTTCCTTGTTGCATCTGGTGTGGGAGAGCCAGGACACAGAAATCATTTCTTTTTGCCGCTTTATCTAAAGAACTTAGTCTGAGGGCTGGAGCATGGCTCAGTGTTTAAGAGCACTGGCTGATCTTGCAGAGGACCAGGGTTCAATTCCCAGCACACAGATTGTGGCTACAACTATCTGTAACTCCAGTTCCCCAGTTCCATGGGACTCTTATGTCCTCTTCTGACCTCTGTGGGCACTGCATGATATCGGTGCACTGATGCAGGCAATACATTCATACGCATAAAATAATAAAAAAAAATTAAAAAGGAACTTAGTCTAGAGTCCAGCATATAGTTTAATAGATGTTTTGCATAAATAAAAGAAAGAACAAGGCTGGGAGCATGAGGTCCTAAGTTTGAATCCCAGAACCCATGTAAAAAGCCAAGCTTGTAATCCAGTATTGGGGAGGCAGAGACAGGATTCCTGGAGCTTGCTGGTCAGTCAACCTAGCCTAACTGGCTAGCCCCAGGTCCTAGTCTTAAAAACAATGTGGTGGGGCAGATGAGATGGCTCAGTGGGTTAGGGCACTTGCCAGCACACCTGGCAAACTGAGTTCAATCCCTAGGACCCACGTAGGAAAGTAGAGAACTGACTCACATAAATTGCCCTCTGACCTCCACATTTTATGCCATGGCATGGATCCATTAACACTTAAAAACAGCTAAGGTGGACAGCCATCCTGAAGAATTTGGAAACTTAGAAGAAAACTACCATCAAACATCTGAATTTGCTCAAAATCCTCTTTTTAGGGGTTGGAGAGATGGCTCAGTGGTTAAGAGCACTTATTGCTTCTGGGGAAGACCAGGTTCAGTTCCCAGCACCCACATCGGGCAGCTTACAACTGCCTGTAGCTCAAGTTCCAAGGGATCAGATACTCTTCTGGCCTCTACGGGCACCTGTATGCACACAGTACACAAAAACTCATGCAGGTACACATACACATAAGTAAAAATAAATCTTAAAGGCCAGGCATGGTGGCACGCACCTTTAATCCCAGCACTGGGGAGGCAGAGGCAGGCAGATCTTTGTGAGTTTGAGGCCAGCCTGGTCTACATAGTGAGTTTCAGGACAGCTGGAGCTACAGGGAGACCCTGTCTCAAAAAGAAAAAAAAACTTAAAATCTTTATTGATTTTTATTTTATGTGAGTGTTGCCTGCCTGTATGCAACTGTATCAGTGTCAGGCACTGCCTGTGGAGGACAGAAGAGGAAGTTGGATCCCCTGGAACTGGAGCTACAGACAGCTGTTAGCCACCATATGGGTATTGGGATTCAAACCCAGGTCTTCACCAAGAACAGCCAGTACTCCTGAGTACTCTAGCCCCATAAAAATTGGGCTGGAGAAATGGCTCAGCAGTTAAGAACACTGACTGTTCTTGCAGAAAGACCCGGGTTTGAAAGCCAACACCCACATGGCAGCTAACAAATGTCCATAACTCCAGTTCCAGGGGATCTGATAGCCTCTTCTGTCCTCCACAGGCATTGCACGACACAGGTGCACTTACATACATGCAGGCATAACACTTATACACATAAAATAAAAATAATAAAGTATTTTCTTAAAATTCCCTTTAGAATCATGATACAATCTTATCTTGTTTCTTAAAAGCTTTTTCTTTCAAATACTGGATCTTAGGTTAAAATTACTTTTTTCCTTTCAGTTAATAAAGTTTTATACTGTCTGGTCATTACAAAATATGCATACATACTCGAATATATAGTGTTTAAATAAGCTTGAGAACTATAGAACTTTAGTAACCATTTATACTTAATTAGTGGGAAATTGTCATATGCCAGGTACTGTCTGAGGCCCTAGTTATAATTAGTAAATCAGAATACCATGGTCTATTTGCATAATATCCTGGCTTTGGAATAAAGCATTTTTCCTTCTTAGAAGCTAGTATATAAAAATGTTTGATGCAAATTCATAAACTAGAAGCTTTATGTACATGCATTTGTATACCAAAAGCATCTGTTCACCAGAGCCAAATACCGTCAGATGATTGGAAGCTGACCTTCTAACAGTTCTAGCTTTTTTTGTTTTCCTTTCTCAGATGAAGGAAATGATGCAAAGCAAACAAACTTGACCAAAACTGTAATTCTAGAAAGCAGCAGGGGACAAAGGTCAGGTCCCTGAGTTTTTAAGTCCAGTATTTTCCCTGTATTTCAGCCTGAATTTTAGGTCCTTTAATATTCAAGGTGTCAATAAACAGTGAGACCCTTCTAAGAGTATTAATAAAAAAACAGTAAGACCCTTCTAAGAGTCTTAATAAAAAAATATACATACCGATTATTTATTAAATTAAGAACTCCAAAACGGAATTAAGAACTCCAAAACAGTGCTAATTTTAAACCTGACAGCTTTAAAGAGCTAGCAAATTAGTTCTAACTATATCAATATTAAATTTAGTCAAATATTTTAAAATTAAAAACAGCCTATATTTTTAAAAAGTTTTTTTTTAAAAAACAAAATAGTTTGTGTCAATTTTTCTCTGCAATACATCCACTTTCTACCCAACCATAAACAACATGCTCAACACAATATTCTTTGTACATACCGTTTGGTTATTAGTCCCTTCTTGTATTTTGTGACTTATTGTTCCCTAACTGCAATACCTTTTTTTAGTTGTCCCTACTGAGTACCCAATATTCATAAATGATGAAGTTCTCAAAGATTCCCAAGTCCTTATCTACATAAGTGTGCAAGCATAAAGAACCTTGTATTTTTAATACCCCAGACAGCCTTACACCCATATATTAACTAATACAGAAGAACCTAAAACTGAAAGGAATATTCATGCAGGATCACTGCAGAAGCTCTAAAGAACAGGTGGTGAGCTGGCACAGCAGCAGCACGTCTACTGAGTTACAATTTGGATGGAAAAAGGGATCTACACTTATGGAAGAGCAGGAAGCCAAGTGGGCTGAGAAGGGGATGTATGTGTGTGATTCAGGCCATTACCAGGGCCAACAAGCAGGATCGCTGTCACAGAACTGCCACTGCCTTCTGGGCCTTCAAACCTGCAGAGGCCAGTAGGGCATGGCTGGCATGGGAGGCAGGAGCAGCTCTGCACTTGAAGCTGATCCTGAAGTCACTGACTGA